CTGGCGCGGGGCTTGGGGAAGTGCGCCAGCGGGGGCACGTCCTTCCCCAGCAGCGCGGGCGGGCAGCCGGTCCGCCGGCTGCGCAGCACCGACTTGCTTCTGCAGTTTTTGTGGATGTCGGGGTTGTATTTATGCTCCAGTCTCTGGTGCATCATCAGAACCTCCGGATAAAAGGTCTTGAAGGTACAAAACGGGCAGGTGATCCCTGGGATTAAACTCTTGCTCAGAGAAATGGCGGGGCAGCCGTGAAGCGCCCCGAGGGACAGGTTCAGCGGTTTCTCCTGACAGTCCCCGCCGGCCCTGTGCTTGCCGTCGGCCGCGGGGCCCACCTGCTCCTCCCTGGGGCCGCCGTCAGCACCGTGGGCCGCACTGCCGTCCGCGCGCGCAGGGACCCCCGCCTCCGGCCTACGCGCGGGCTCGGGGGGCTGAGGGTCACCTGGCGCTCTCTTCGGGAACACGTCCAAACTCGCGGGGGCAGGAGCTTTGCCCATTTTATCAGTACCGGCATCAGTTGCATTTTTATTGAAATCCTGAGTATCTCTGTGTACTGCTGACTGGACAGTGCTGCCCAGTACATTCTGAAAGGTAGAGGCCATCCCCTTAAGTGGCTTTGAAGGTGGGCTGCCTTTAACATCTTTGGCACCATCAAAACATCTTTTCAGATTTTTGGTTTGCGCACCGTCGGCGGCTAGTAGTGCATCTTCGGTCTCCTGGTTTTTCCCATCGGTCTTGACTTCGGCGGCAATATCGATCTGCTTGTCCTTGTGATGCCTCTCCAGATGATAGCGAAGAGATGTCTTCTGGGCCGCGGCGTAGTCGCAGAATTCACATTTGTATGGTTTTTCACCTAAAACGAGAAATGTCACTGTGTCACCCACGTTCATGAAGAACATCAAAACAGATCTCTGGAAGCTAAAATTATCTGCCAGGAGAGAATACAGGGTCTTTCCTTTTCCCTTCTCTCTCTACGAATCTGCATATCCAGGATTTTTCTCAAGTTGCTCACTTTATCACCCTTACTATACTATTTGAAAATGTGAATACATGTCTTTAATTAAAAAAAAATAGCACATTTTAAACTTACCTAACCTTCATAATAGCCCTATGGAACAGAAGAGTATCATTATCCTGCTTTTACAGCTAGGAACACGGGGGCACAGAAAGGCATAATGACTTGCCCAAGGCTGCACACACAGCTAGTGAGCGGAAGAGAGGCAGTTCAAGTCCACCCAGCCTCCTGAACCATTATTATGTCACAGCTGCTTCTACAATCTAAAGAAAATACTAAATATATTCTTGTTGCCTTCTAAATCATAACAGTTAATACAAAAAAAGCTGTGGCGTGAAAAAACATTAAAGAGGTTTTAGTAAGATGAAACAGTAGTCAGAAACTAAACAAGAAACAAACTTCGAAACACGAACAGTTCAAGTTACAAGGACATTAACAGACCTAAAATGACAGCTACCATCAACACACTACACACTTACTCTTCAACTATTGCAAGGGCCTAACAGAATATTTGAACAATATAAAAGAAGTCAGGACACAAAGCTCCATCGTAATTCTTTGAGCTAATAAGAATTTTAAAAATCTAGGAAGTTCCTTACCTGTATGCGTTCTGAGATGAATATTGAGGTAATAATTTGAACGGAAAAACTTCCCACAATAACTACATTCTCTTGAGGACGTAAGATGCTTTATTTTTCCTCCATCATCATTTTTATCTTAAAGCAGAAACAAAAAATATTTCTGTAAGAAGACAGCTCAGGTACACGAGTTAAGACAAGCTAAGTATTCTTGATGGAGACGGTTTTTTTTTTTTTTTGGAAAGCATAAAATAATTTTTATATTAAGTGTTGGGGTATACCAGAAAGGACAGGAACACACCAAATGCTATTTGAGACTGTCTGAAGTTTTGGAAGCTTTTTATAACATGCGTGTCTGTTTCTTGGTTTTGTTTTTGTTTTCTGAGTACAGCAGAATTTGGTGTCCTGGATTCAGTTCTTCCTTTGCCTCAATCACAGGAAAGATCATTTAAGATACTGACATGCATGGGCAACTTTCTGTTCTCCCAACATGTCTGCAACAAGCAGGATCTGGCAGACTGAAGCTGGACCTACAGACACTGGCTGGAATAACCAGCTTCTTCAGAATAACTGATTTAGAAAACGGAGCCAATAGAAATTGCCAGCTTCCCCAACCACCAGGGAAAAGAAGTCTATCTTAAGATTGGGCCAGCTACCACTAGAGGGTAGCAAGCACAACTTAATCTTTAAAGAAAATAAAAGGTTTCAGCATTGGGTCAAACGCCTAAGAAAGTTTGTCAAAATTCAGCACATTCTGGAAAGCAAACTGTATCATTCACAAGCACTCACGTGGCCAAAAATATAGCTGAGATCAATCAAAATCTGTCCCCAAATGACAATGGGCTAAGCCATATACTTCAATCTCTGCAACGACCAGGACAGTGTATCTGGCTGCAACATAGTAAAGGCCCACTGCTGCCACTAATTAAAGGATGATTATACCTAAACACCTAAACACAAAGACAAGTACACTGCTACAGTTAAGATACCCGCCCCCCCCCGCCAAAAAAAAAAAAAAAAAATTTAACACCCATAAAAATGAGTGCCAAATTTCTAGATAAACCTCCTCTTACCCAAATACTGTACTCCGTGCACTGCAGTGAGGACAAGGAGGTGGGGTCACCTCTTAAAACTGAGCATAACTAAACTGGCTCTTTTGCCTTGAAAACCGTTAACTCCAACTAAAAAGGCCTCTTTTCCCTGCTCCTTCCCAATTTTGTATTTTAGATTATACAGATCTAGTTTACAGATTTTAAAAAGCAGCTTATGAGCCAACTGTGGGCAGCCTCCAGGACAACCAGGACAGGACTGCATGATCCCCTGGCCCCTCAATTCCCCTGGGGAAAAGGTATGCACCACTGAGCACCTCTCAACAGTAGAACAGCAGAGACCACCACTGACCGTGAAGACTTAAAAACACAATCACATGAAAAACCACTATTAAACATACTATAAAGTTGAACAAACACAAAAAATATTTACTTTGCCTTCTGATCTTAAAAGTCAATCTCAAGAAAGCCAGGTTGATAGTAAATAACAGGAAGATAAATCTAGACCACCACATAATAATATAAACTTAGGAAAATCAATTCTCTAAATACAGAAGGCCCAGCTTTATCTTACAATCACACCCAATGAGCTGAGTTTGAACCTTACTGCAATTTCCTACTCCCAAGTATGTGTCAGGATTTATGGTATGTTGCATCATATCCAAAAAGTTATGAAATGGGTCTGTTTTAACACAAAGGACGTGAAATGTCCACATGTACCTGGTTCCTGCTCCTTTGGCATCACCTCTGATTTTACAGTTTCTGAAAGGACTGCCAACTTTTTATCAAGAGGCTGTTGAAATTATCTTTGGGAGGTGGAAGACAAGGGTGGACGAACCAATTTTGCAAACAGAGAAATCAGGGCAAAGAAAGGTTAAGCAACACATAATCAGCCACAGAATAATGCAGTGGCAGAACCAGACTAAAGGCAAGTCGTGGCGCTCCCAGCTACCATCAGGCATTCTATCCACCTGACGACCAAGATTTCCACCAGGTTCTTTTGCCCACACCACCTACTGGCAGAATGCGACCGGCCATCTAATTTCTTTCATGGCAAGGGGGCAGCAAGGGGACCCAACCATCTCCCCATTACTACATGCCCCTGAACAGGAATGACACTACTAGGAACCACTGTGAAGACAGGTCTCTGTGTTCAAGGCCTTTTTTTCTGTCATGAAGACACCATAATGGTGTTTTCTAGATTTCTGAAGACTGTAGTATCCTAGATGCTAGGTTTCCTGTGTCCCCTGAAACTCAAAACATCCTAAATCCTCAGTATGAACACTACTGTTCTCAATCCATCTTGTGATGGCAAAAAGAACCTGACACTGGTTTGGAGCATGAAGCATCCAGTGTATCATCCGGTCAAATTCATCTTGGTCTCACACACGAGTTCTCACAAGCCAGCCACATACCATCAAGTTACAGTCAAAGAAGGTAGCAGACCTTCTTTTGTGAATGATAACGTCCCTCTAAGACTAATTCATGTTCCCACCATTCAGTTGTTAAAGATGCAAGAGGTTCTTTTAACTGTTGAATTTCAAGCAGCAGAATCCTTTACTCAAACAAAACATCATTAAACAGACAGAAGCAGCTCTGGTTTAAGTATAAATGGGCAAGACCTGAACCACAGGTGGGATCCTCTGCCTTGGATAATGTCCATTGGGCTTCAAGAAATAAGAGGTTCCCTGAACCTTCAGCGGTGACTCCCGTTTCCTCTAAAAAGCCATTAGGTTCAAGAAAAATCTGAGCATTTGAGGTTCCGTTAAATCATCTTTGGTGTGTTCACATTCCCTTTATTTTACACACAAATGGTCTTGGTCCCTGAGCTAACTGTTAATGAATACTAGCCCACCAGACATAGAGGACTGGGTACCAGGTAGCACCAGTTTCTCTAAAGATACCCTTGCTCTGGCCGATAATCATTCCCAGTACCTTTTGTGACTAGACCACCAGCTGGAGGAAGTGCATGAGAGCTGGGTCTCAGAGGACAGGGAAGTCGGTTGCACGTAAGGACAACCTGTTTTTAGAGAGCAGCTCAGGTATGCCAGAAGCCCTGAAGCGAAGCCCAGTGTCTCTCAACCCTGACACCGACACTGGGCCACATAATCACCGGCTGCGGGGCCGCCCTGCGCACGGCAAGTGGGATGTTCAGCAGCATCCCTGGCCTCCCCCCGCTGGGTGCCAGCCGCACACCAACACGGCTGTGACACCCCAAAATATCTCTAGACACTACCAGATTCCACGGGGGGCAAAACCGCCCCAGGTCAGAACCACCGCCTCAGACTGATGCGCAAGTGAAGATGATGTGTGTCCTCCATGAGCAAAAGATACAGCAACAGAATTTTCAGAACTGGAAGAAGCCCTTGGGCAGAACCAAGGCCCTGAGAGGTGAAGTGACTTACGACAGGTTGGCACCCCAAGAGCCTGGCCTCCGCCCCAGCTCTCCAACCCTCATTTCTGGGACGGGGACGGAGGCAGGACAGCGCCCATGGAGGAGAGGCTTACCCAGCTGGAGCCCTTCCGCAAGTCCGTCCTCAGATCCATCCTCAGAACCAGCTTCGCGATCTACGGCTCCGTTCTCATCCAGGGTGGCGGTGAGGTCTGGAGAACACGTCCTAGGCTGCCTTCCATCAACTGACATGGTCGGCGACTCGGCATCGGCCCTCCGGTCCTTCTTGTGCACTCGGGAGTGCAGGACCAGCTGGTGGTAGGTGCGGAAGGCTTTGCCGCATTCCGAGCAATGCGTCGGCTTCTCTTTGTTGCTGGACAACTTTGGGTCCGCTTCCACGGAAGGCACTTCACCACTGGAGGGTCTGGGCTTCTCTTTATCTTGTGCGAGGCCTGCGCAACTGCTTTTACTTGTCTTGGACTTTCCAGAACCTTCGGAATGGCTCTTACTCGCGTTCCAGATTTCGACAAGCTCCTCTTTTTCTGAACACGAATCATCATTGTCGGTACTTCCTTCTTGGCCCGGCTGTTCCTTCACTTCTCGGCACACGGCGACTTTTCCTTTGGTAGCCAACTGCCAAGCCTGGTAGGTGGTGAATGGATCGAGCTGAGGTATCCATTTTGTGGGCTTCTTGCCGGTTTCGGGGTGAGAGGTGGGTCTCAAGTTTAAAAACTGCAGGAACTCTTCCCCCGGAGATGGCATCCCCCCCTGCTGAGAGTCTGTTTGTGTACTACTGGAGCCGGAAGCAGATTCTTTGGTGTGCATCTTCCTGTGATCGATGAGACTTTCCTTATTAGGAAAGAGGAAGCCACAAACCATGCAGATTTTGTAAGGAGAGGAGATGCTCTCAGCTGCGTGCTCCTGTACCACCTCGTTGATTGTTGCCGGGCTCTCCGAGCCTTGCTGCAGTTTGCTCTTGGCCCCGGATTTGCCAGTGTGCGTCCGCATGTGATTTTTAAGAAACCAGGGCTCCTTGAATCTTCTTCCGCACACGTTACACCCATAGGTGAAAGAGTCCTTATGTTTCTTCATGTGGATCTCGACGTCGAAAGCCACTCTGAATGTCTGCCCACATACTTCACAGCTAAATTCTTCATTTTCCTTGCAATTCTTGTCCTTTGGAGGCTCTGTTCTCACTTGACTTTTATCAAGAGGACTAAGATACTCCGCTTCAACGCGCAAAACTGCTGGCTCACAGAGGATAGGCCGATGTTGCATTAGGACATGTTTATTAAGGTCTTCTGAATGTGTGAAGGTCTGATTGCAAAACATGCAGTCCAAGGGCATATATCCTTCTATTTGGATGATGTTTTTCTCTTGCGTTGCTCTGAAAGGAACAGCGGTGGTCCCTTTTATTGACATGGCATCATCTAGCTCCATCTGGGTGCCAAGGGGATTGCCAATAACTTCTGGTCCATCCATATACACCAACAGGGATTGAGTTGGCATGTTTCCTGGCACTTTAGGATTGTATATAAAATAAGAATCCGGTGGAGGAATTTCTGGAATTGGGATAAGGCCACTTGTAAGACTTGTCACTCACACCCCCAGGAGCCCTGCACTTAAAACTAGAACAAATATTTGTTATAAAAGTTCAAAAGAAAGTATATATTCCTGGAGCTTCTTATCTTCCGAAGTTGTAGGAAGCTCGGTGACAGAGCTTCTCACTGGTTCTTTCCACAAACAAGGCAGACAGACTCCCCAACGCTTTGATTCAAATATGAGTCAGCACAAAGCATTAATTCTCTTTGTCTCCATTGAGTGAGTGATTCAATTGAGCAAGAAGTCAATCCCAGCAACCTGGAGACAAGGGATTTCCAAAACCTAGAGGGGGGGAAAAAAAAACAAAACAAAACATAGAAATGGTTAGCTGCAGCCAGGGAAAAAAGAAGCCTGGTGTGGACGACTCACAGCTGGTCTGCCCGTAGCCTAGGTCATCTGCTCCTCCCTTAACTAACACAGGGCATCCTGTTCAACATGCTCGTTAATTAAATCATTAGCATTTTATCCAATCAGTACACTTATCAAATCGCTAGATTTTCATCCAGTTAAGAAACGTAACACGTGGTCCTTTAATGATTTAAATCTAAAATGTAAAGATTCAGGGCAGAAACTGTTCAATTCAGCGGAATGCATTTTAAACGCCAACACTACAATGCACATGTGTATCCTTATCAACAGCCTCTACAAATCTAGAGACTATACCAACTGTGAAAAATGACAATTACAGCACTTTAAGTAAAAATTTAAAAGCCAGAACTTCAAACTGTCTTATATACAGTTGAGAAACACAAATGCCTAAATGCACCCTTGAAGCTTTACACACGCATTGGCCAACAACCTACACACACAAAAAACAGGAACCTTTCATAAAATCCACATTCAAAAACTACAGAACACTTCAGAATGATGCTCATATCTTGGCCAAGAGAAACCTTCATCATTTTGGCTCACAGGATATTCTAACCCTCAACCCACTGCCCAAATCCCAGTTTGCTTGTAACAACTTTCTGCTTCAACAAGCCTCAGGGTTGGGCTTCCTTGTCCACACAATAAACAAGGAAATACATATATACAAAGCTACTTTGTGAATATACACTTTAAAATCCTCCACACAACCAGTTCAACATGGCTCAGTCTTCAATCAGAAAATGGGTCCTCCCACTTTTTTAACCCACCTTTCACATTATGCATTGGCCAGGTGAAAAATGGACTATTACTTTATTTAGCTCTGCAGGCTCAGATTTGGAAGCTAATTTTCACTCTTGAAGGGGAATTAAGCTCCAAAAACCCAATAGCCCCCACCTTTCTGGCAAGCACAGAATTGGTTTTCAATAGTCTCAACTACTTTAACTGAGGTCTGTTCATTCTCCCCAACAAGACAAAAAGACTTGCAAACTACTCCCACCACCTTGAGCTTTACTTTCTTCTCTCCACTTCCTCAAAGAGCAAGGGCCTCTAGGCTCAGAGAAGACAAGGAAACATTTCTTCCCCTTCTTTACACTCATAATAAAAGAAAATTCTCATGCCCCTTGCTATCTTTAGTTTTGAATAAACCAGATCTTTAACATCAAGCTTTTCTAATAAGACTGCAGATCAAAGATTAGGGTAAAGAAAGAACGTACTAAAGTGCTTTATCTTAATTTCTGAGTCTTTTGTTGTAATCACAATGGAGGATAAAACACTGGGGCTGGCTACCAGCTTGGTGGGAAATAACAGAACACCCCAGAGACCTGAGTTCTAGTTCTGGCTAAGTCACAACCTTCAAGCTGTCACCACCACATACCCCATCTTCATCTACTTGGTGGAGATGGTTAAATGACAGGATCATCCTCAAGAGTTCCAAATTTCTGTGGTTCTGGGGGGTAGGTCTACATTTATGGATAGACTTATTCAAAAGAATTTTTAATGCTATCTTAAATCAAGATATAAATGATATTTGAAAACACCACGAAGTTGACCAGCACATTTTCACCGGCTGACAGCTATATGAAAAACAGAAACAGCTCATTGAGTTCTCCACCGTGTACACAGATAAATTTCAATTTGAATAAAGGCTGTCCTCTGTTTGAGGCCCTTTCTATTTTTTGGTTGCAAAACAGCTTTTTAAAAAATGAAAGAGTGGCATTAGGGAGCAGTAAAGTTTTTTTTTTTTTAATGCCCTAATTTGCCAAAATCAAAGTTAGTCCTCCATGTCAGACATCAACATTATCTTTTTCTTTTTTTAAAGAAATTTTACTACTCTATGATATTTTAAATTTGGGGGAACTCCAGTTTTCTACAGATAATCTTTCCCCAAAAGACACCAATCATAAACTCAGTCTCTGATTAAGAAACATGATGTGGGTACATCCCTGTTGTTTATTTCCCACCCAGGGTAATGGCATATAACTGGAAATGCCTGACTTCAAGAAACAGTTCAGTTTCAATTTTTATCTCTGAAATGTTCAAATATATGCGTTAAGGGAAGTCATCATCAGCTTCTAACACAAGACCTGAAGGATTAGTAAAGGAGGTACAGTGCAAAAAAAAAATCATAGCAAGAAGAGCTTCAGTTTTGCGCTTCAGTTTTGGTGAAGGATGGAGGCCTGGAGACGAGGAGAAGGAGGTCCTGGGCCAGCGAGTCTCCTCGTATGGTGAGATGGGGAAGAAGACCCTCCCAGGCAAAACTGAAGCACTTCTCCCTCAAGGGAAGCTTCTGGCACAGATCCTGATAGTCATTAACTGTGCCCAGCTGTCCTGAGCACTAGACTACATTGGGTCATAGCCATCCTTACTACTCACTCAAGAGAGGAAGACCCTGGGCCATTCCTTTGCAGTAAGATCCTAGGAGGAGAGACCCTTGTCCGCTGCTATCCCCTCCCACCTAGAAGGGGTCTCTGGCACAGGGGCAGGCCCTCAATTAACACCTAGTGGCTGAATGAACAAGCACTCCGTCATCAGCGCAGGTACAGAGTCAATACTGAACATCTCTGGTCACAGTCACCAACCATGACTCATCTGATATTAACTCGGAGGTTCATCAGACCTTCTGCACGGCTCCCTAAGGCTGCCATCTACTATACCATTCTCTACAGTTTCAAGGGTGTAATAAAAAATAATGAATCAGGGGCGCCTGCGTGGCTCAGTTGGTTGGGCGACTGCCTTCGGCTCGGGTCATGATCCCGGAGTCCCGG